TTGATGACCAGCTGCATTTGCAGTCCTAAAAGCTCAAATATAACTAGAACATCAAAACTCCAAAGAACTGTTGATTTTTAAAGGGGTGTTTGGCTAAAAATCATGCCAATTACATAACTAAAAAGAACTACTAACGGTCAAAAGAATAATGAATCCATCGAAAATATAAAATTCATATTTTATACAATATCCAATTTTGAAAAATTCCTCATCTTCATAAACAGAAATCCAAAAGTTTGGAAAATCAAAAGAAATAAAAAGACCCGGATTCAGATACAGCAAAAAATCACATAGAAGCCCTTATTTGCACTATCTATTCAGGGACAGAAGGAAAAGTAGAGCCACCCCAGCCAATTGAATCACAATACCGATTCCACGTACTAAACTTCCACTACCATCATGATCATTGCTTTTTCTTCCCTTCTTAACTCCTGACTTCTGAAGCCATCCTGCATCTTCAAAATTCTCTTGTCCCAACAGTATAGCTTTACTCTCACTCCCAATGTTATTCTATAACTTCGATACCGGACTTCATAAACCCTTCACAACTAACAAATCCTTCTTAGCGGAGCCGGTGGTGTAGTGGTAAGCGTGATTACCTCTCACCCCAGCAGGCCCGGGTTCAATCCCAGTTGGCGCCGCCGGGATGTTCCGAGACATAACATTTTGGATCACGCCTTCCTTCGGAAGGGAAGTTAAACCGTTGGTCCCCGGTTCATAAGTTGATGGGTCGATAGGTAGGGTCCAGGTGTGGGAGCTGCTTTCCTAGCGTCGGTAGCATTGGTGCTCAGCACGGAAAACAAGATCGACGGAAAACAAATCAAAGGAAAAAAAAATCCTTTCACCCCCTTCTCCTCCACCAACCGTTGTCGAAGGAACAGCAACACCTTACCTCTCCTTAACCAAACAAAGAAAAACGCTACTCAATGTTCCACTAAACAAACAAACGACCCAATCAACGCCACAGAAACACTAAATCACCCGAACAACTGTATTAAAACCACTACTGATGACGTTTTCCAATACCGAAAAATCACTTACGCAAAAAAAAACAACCCGAAAAATCGTGACAGTTCCTTAAAATGACTGCGGGCAGAGCCTACTCAGCCTACATGACGAAAACAGCGAACTTGGAACTTACCATTTGTCTAGTATATAACTAAAGAGCCTGAATTTATAAAGAGACGACATGTCAAAATTGGAACAATCGATTGTCTTCTTTCTTCTTTCCTTTATTTAACGTCGGTCTTTGTTCCGTAATCTAGTGTCAATCACCGACGGACATCGATTGCCATCCATTGACGGCAATCGAATGTGCAGGAAGGCAGCTTCCAGCAGTAGGATATCGCACCTATTCAACACACATACGGGGACGGGACCAACGGCTTTACTTTCCTTCCGAAGAAAGACGTGACCAGAGATTATTATGCCTCAGAAAAATCCCACCGACCTCGACTGGGATTGAACCCAGACCCATTGGGGTGAGAAAGCAGTCACGCTTACCACTACACCACCGGCGCCAGCCAATCGATTGTCTGTCAAAGTCATAGGAAAAGTCATTCCAATCGAGCAGAAGACCTGTCAAATAGATAAGATGTCGCCTCTTTATAAATTCAGGCTCTTTAGATATAACTAATCCTCTGACAAGAAGGAGGGTTGCTGAAGCCACCACCATTGGTGGTGTCAGCACTGTAGCCTACAGTTTTTATGCTATGTTTATATATGCATTGACAACACGTATGCGTTAAAAAATCTTGTGTCAATAATCATTAATGAAACTTGAATTTTTCATGATTAGCTTGTCTGATTTAAAAATTATATTAAAAATATTTAATTCCTTCAGGTAGGGGAAACGCTCCTATAGTTGCGGTACGTTAGAAACGTTAGGTTCCTATAGTTGTGCATGGAGACTCAATACACAACTATAGAAACCTAACGCTTCTAACGTACCGCAACTATAGGAGCGTTTACCCTAAGCGCTTGTTGAACCTCGTGTTGAACATTTATCACGATTATTTTGCCGCGCAACCAACCAAACATCTATGTGGACGGAGCATAATTTCTCAATTTTTGCATCAGCTGTCTTAGATTGGCAGATAATCAAGCCAAAGAACCAACAACTTTGGCTTCAAGCTAAATGTTGGTGGATGACGTTTCTGCCACCGGAGTGGATATAACACCTTTGCTTGGCACCTCCACTGGATCTTCATGTCCACCATCTGTAACTGTCTGATTACCTGTGGTGTGATACTTCTTTCAACGAAAAATAATTTTCTTGCATTGTCATGGTCATCTGGTCTAAAAGTAGCTGGTCCACCGAGCACTCGCAATGAGCGGTGCGTGCAGATTAGTATGAGATGGTATTATATACAAAGTGCGAAAAGAGAATGAAAGAAATACGAAAGGGATTAGTTTCAAGAAGTGACAGTTTCATCGGATCCCCCAACCAGGCATGGAAAATCATTTGCATTCATTTCGTGCATTCATTTACATTCATTCGCCTCTAACTTTTTTCATCAACAGTATTACGCAAAATTATGTATAGAGCTTTTGTAGGTTATGTTATTAGCTACAGCTTTTGTTAACAAGTCAAATCCGTATCTCTGATGCATGACGAACCAGAGCAAACAGAAGCCACTACTGTTTTTCAGTGAATGTATTTTACATTCACTGAAAAACAGCAACAAGTTCTACCCGCTCTAGTTCGTGATGCATAAGAGATACAGATTTGAGTTATGAGCAAAAGTTGTAGCTGATAACAAAACCTACAAAAGCTTTTTAAATCTTTTTGCGAAATGCTGTTGATGAAATAAGTTAGAGGCAAATGAATGTAAATGAATGTATGAAATGAATGTAAATGATTTTCCATGCCTGCCCCCAACTAACCATACTCAAACATAGTAAGTATATACAAGCTATATTGCGACATAAGGTTACTTGGCCGTCAGAATGGTTCATGGGTTGCGAAGTGAAGTATTTTTGAAAGTGATGCGTTATATGCCAAATTCGATCGGATACAATACTGAATAGTTATACACTGATTGAACGATGTAGCTCATTTTCGCTGAAATCGAATTCGAAACTGTAAAATGCGTTTATGGAAATTGTCCTGATTTGGAACAATTGTTGTCCTAATTTCAGAATTTCACCCGAAAAAAAAAACACTATTAACTCCTATCCATGGCACGCGCCACACGAGAAGTGTTACTGGATTAGAGGTAGAACACATTCACCAGAACAGGCCCCTTCTCTTGAGAGCGCCCGAGTGCGTTGCGTCTATCAATGGACGAAAACCAGAACAGCTGACGAAAAATCAGCCAGATAATATGCCGGGAAGAAAAAAGCCGCCCTCATCGGTCTCTACTTCTTCGCTCTGATATCTCTCTCTATCTCTCTCTGTCTCTCGCATTCACTGGAAGATTTAATTGATTTTAAATTGTTTGCTTCTGGAATCCTGCAGTCTTCACTTGGTCTCATACGAGTGTGCGATCCGCAGCACTCTACTGGCCAACAAATCGACCCCGTCGTCATCGTCGTCGTCGTCGCCGTCGTCCGCCGGTCGACGTGATCCAGTCTTTCAGGTTCCGTCTGACCAACAACGGCGCGTCGCTCATTCCGCCGCCGAGAAAAGTGACTTAATGGTTGTTTACTCAAGTGATAGTGTTACTGAACGTACTCCCCTCCAGAATTACTACACATATATGTACTTGCATTGCGAAGCCGCGAAAAAAGTAAATATTGGCAATCCTCAAACAGTCCATCCCTCGGCTTCTACTAGGGTGTTATCCAGCTTCACTGTATCAGAAACGCACTTTATCATTCCTCGAGAGCGCGATGGCGGCAAGCCACTAGACGTCTCACCAAAACGAGGGCTGGTATACGCTGTTGGGCCGGTCGGGGGAGGTGCTTCTGGAGTTTCTCAACTGTTGAACTCAATTAAAATGTTTAGTAAACTTTGTATTTTTTTCGGGAGGATCCGGGAGGTACAGCACCAACGGTGGGAATCGATGGAATCCGTTTCCAGTCTCAGTGCGGCCGCCGAAGGGGCAGAAAAATACCGACAATGGCACTTTGCGGCCGGTTCGACATGGGGCCTTCTGGATTGTGTTTTTTTTTTGCGGCTCTTGAGGGGGGAAGGGTTGGGAAAATTTTTCGGGATAAACTTTTCGGGGCGAAATGTGTAAGATTAATTGACTCTCGGTGGTATGTTGAGGGTTTTGCGTACGCTGTGTGGGTTAGCGAGGGACGTGTAATGGAGGAGCCGGAGGGGAAAAAAAAGGGTATACATCTTTGGGTCCAGCAGACTGTCCTTGTGTGGATTCTGCCAGCTGACGGATAGATAAGGTTCGTTTTCGCATGTGTGCCAGCGCTTAAATGTGTTTGCTTAGGATGAAATTAATCGCGGAATGGGGAGGACTGAATCAATACAATTTTCTCTGTTGTCATTGCGTTCGGAATGAGGTTGTATGAACTCATTTTTGCTACAGAATTCATATCGTGTGTGGCATTGGGAGAATATTGATACGGTAGTTCAATGTGTATCGTAAAAAGCTTGTTCGGTTGAATTTTGTGTATACTTCAGTAGGTATTTCTAAATTGGAAATAAATTTATTCCACAAATATCTGGATCAGTTCATTTCCTTGTTGATTTGTAAACGTCAAAAAGTAGCAAGAAACATTTGTGGATAGAGATTCTTAAGTATTTTTAGGCGAGCACCAAACTCTGCTTCTGTTAATATTTTTGTTAGTCTAAACTCGCTGCGAAAATGTGATTTTTTTTCACTTCTTTCACACACTTTCGAAAATTGCTCAATGAATTTTAATGGTTCAATGATACAATACTACAAATTTAATCAACCGGATACGCTTCAGTTCATGTATACTGTGCATTAAAAATTAATCAATGATAAATCTGGAACTGAAACTTTTCCAAGCTTGATGAATAACATTTGAATTTTATAACATAATTCTGATGTATGTTTTTATTTCTGTGATTTCAGGTACAGTCATCAATTAAAGAAAGTGTCTTAGCTGCTTCATCATCCCTGCGTAAGTGGTTTTCACATATCTTTCTATTTTAATCAGGGAATCTAAAATGTCTTTGATATGCGACCTACGAGCCAAATAATGAATCGATTTGTGGATTTGAAGAAAAACTTCAAATCCCCTCATCCATTGATGTATGAGTTCGGTAAAGGAGTGTGCGTTTGACTAGTACTGTTGCATTACTGGCTCTTCGCTCAATTTCAGCTTCTATTCAATTTTCACACTGCCGTACTCTAGCGAAACTTATCAACCTATCCTCTTTAGAACATTCTCTAATTAATAAATTATCACACTAAAGCTTCATGCTAATATTAGTATAGCATTTCCAACCAATTCTGAAAAGAACTTTACCAAAGGGAATTTTTGTTTACATTGGGCAGGTTTTGGCAGAAGCGTCTCAGAATTTTATTTTTTTTTCCACAGGTTTATATGAACAAAACAAAAATTAAAAAAATCGGGTTGATTAATTTTCCCACCGAAAATCACGTACTTTGAAAATTAATAACTCCTTAACTAAGCATCGTAGATAGAACGTTGTTAAGTAAAATGATAAGAAAGTTGTCCCATGTCCAGCAAAGTTATAGCTGATTAAATTTCAAGCAACTTTGTTAATACGAGTTTAAAAAATAACATGCCTCTATTTTTTCATATTATTGAGAATAGCATACGCCCTTGCAAATAACGTAATTTTTTTTTGTTTGCCCCAACCAGAGATATTAAGGTGAAAGTGGATCGGTTCAGAATGACTCACTTCATCGATTTTTTACAAAATAACGCAGCGCTCAATTGCCTTCTAAAAATGTAAAATTTATTTCAGGACACCTTTGATCCAGAAAATAGCTCTAAATCGGTCAATTCATGAGATACAAAAAAGTTTTTTTTTTAACAAAGTTGCTTGAAATTAGCACAGCTATATCTTTGCCTAAAAATGAAAACATTAATTCCATCACACGAAAAAGTTAAATTTTTGATTTCAATGATAATAAGAACCACCCTAGAATTCATTGTCATAACAATGATGGCCTAGCTATAAGGAACAACTTTGTAGATTACACTTTTTGTCTAAAATTTCAATTTCAGGCTCAAAACTTATCCTTTAAGCTAAATCTGCATTCGTAATTTTTTTTGATAATAACTTTATTTGTACAGGCTCAATCGAATAAACTTTACAGAGCCGAGTTATCCTTTCCGTTATACATTATTACTGTCTTATATTTAAAGTTAAAGGAACGGTAACGAGTACTCGCGGTTGTCTCGAGGTTAGTGAAGATTTACAATTTTTTGGATGGGAAAAGGGGTGAAGGAGGTTTGAAATGTGGTTTACGATACAACTATTTAATTAATCCTAAGCATGAAATTATTTCTATTCATCTTGAAAACAAACATTGAAAAAAAAAAAACCCACACGTACAAAATACAAACTAAACACAAGGTTAATCAAACTTACAATCTAAGGTTAATATTCTTAAAGTTAACATATATAAGTTTCAACGAATAGTGATTGGACATGAGGCGAGACATCATACGAATGAAGTCTCGACCCAAGTCCAACCCCTTGAACCAAGGACTCTTCGACACCTTAGGGATAATTGAATGTAGCCATCGTCCCAAGCTCCCTTCACTCCATTGAGTTTGCCAGCTAACGAGCGACTGCTGACGATAAATAGAGAAAAATTCACTATAGGCGATCTGTCGATCATAAATGTCGCCTTCCATAGCGCCCACCTTCGCAAGTGAATCCGCCTTCTCATTGCCCAAAATTGAGCAAAGCGAAGGGACCCACGCGAAGGTGATGATGAAAGAGCGCACGGATAAAGCACTAAGCAGCTCTCGTATTTTCAAGAGGAAATACGAGAAGTGCTTTACCGGCTTAATGGAACGGATAGCCTCAACATAACTGAGACTATCCGTAAAAATAAAGTAGTGGTCTGGAAGAAGTGATGCAATAGCTTCCAAAGTGTAGTGAGAAATCTGCATTCTGGACCACTGTGCATTGTCAAGGTAATGACATTTTGACTAATGTATTTTTTGCAAGCCTGAATACTTCTTATGTTTCACTGGTGAACATTTCAGAGTGGTGTCTTACTGGTTTTGAGAAATGATGAAGAAAAGAATGGCCCGGAAAACTTTGGTTCAACTTCTCTGATTTTTTCGAAATTCTCTTTGAAAACCCATAACTCATGAAACAAGTTGGATCTAATTTAATCCTGTACAATTATTAGGTAAGATAACGCCCAATCATTTTTCTTGTCCATATTGATATTTGCAACATCTGAGATATGACACAAACATCATAATGGCCAGGTCTACTGCGTTGTATTTGCCGCAAAAATGATTCTTGGAAATGATTCGACAAAGCCTCTCAATTTAAGATGGTCGGAAAATCTCACGCTAGCGAATCAATCTATGAAAAATCTTGTTTCATCTTTTGCATCTATTTCCATCTAATTGCATCGCTCTACACCTTTTTGCAGGAAATCTTCAAAATCTTCATCAATCTTCTTTCTAGCCACTAAGCGTGCGATCATCTCACAATAGCAAAGAAAATGTTTCCTGCATCTTAGTTAGAGTCGCACCCCTCGGACAAAGCATTTCTTGAATCCACAGGGGAGTAAGGATGCGTGGACGTACCGTACCAAACGTTCCGAGTTATGTAAATGTGATTACAGTAATATTATGCCATGTAATAAAGGTGTCCGGCCATTTGGCCGAATGCCGTTTGGACGAATACTTGAAAAAAGATTTTCAACTTTTGAACTCTACTTGAAGCTAAATGGCAGCCCTGCTGACGTTTTTTTACGTTCCAAAATTATGTTTTTTTGACATTATAATTATGGGTTTGTTAAAATGTACATTGTATAAAACTGAATTTGTATGCTGTCGTTGAAGTCATTATTCTTATAAATATGAGCTTTTTGTTATGTAATTAGTATTTTTAGCCACCCTTTTTAACATGAGCAGTTATTTGGAGTTTTGATGATCTTACACCCAACCGGGGGATGTAAGATTCGCTTTCAACTATCAACAATTAAAAATTTGTGGGATTCATCATCAGAGGATGTTAGTGGAGGATGCCATATGCCTAGCTGCGGTCCAATGCAAGAAAATTTGAGACTGAAAAATGTGGAGTGTATTAGTGAGTGAAATTAATTATGTCTAAAAAAAATAGGAAAAACTACAAGGGGTTGTACACAATGGTGACGTACACAGATAAAAATTCTGAATTTTAATTGTGATGTAAACATTCATTCACGTAAACTTAAATTTAATTTCACACAACCGAGCAACTTGTAAACAATGTTGTTTACAAAGATGGGCTTTTGTATACAATATTTGCTACATTGCATGAATTGTGCTAGAACTTTACATGATATATAATGTAAATTTATATGATATATGACGCTCCATTTGTGTGCATCATATTGAACAGAAATTTACAATACTTTTCGAACTGTGTAGGACTAATACGTGGTCTTATATAATAAATGTTATTTGTTAACTGGAACATGAGCTTGGGTTTTGTGTAGGAATAGAAATTTGAGCGGGGTTCTCTCTGTTTATACTTTTTAGTTTGCCTTTGATTGCCCTGAAAAGAAACTTTTGATATGAATTTTAGTTGGACATGTTCAATAATTTAATATTGGTGGCCGATGGTAGTAAAGCCTTTGAAAGATGATGATGACGTGTGGGCAGCTGGATCAGCAAATCAGACCGGACAATCCCATATTCTTCGGTACAATGATTGGGCACTCGCAAGAGTCTCGGCCCATCTGCAGCTGGACAGGGGTTGAACTGGGGTCTGCGACAGGTTGGAAGGCCGCAGAATATCAGTGTCCACCCAGCTAAAGCTCCTCCTTTTTTTAGTTTTTCTCGTTAAACTCCTTCTCTCAACAAGTTGGTCAATCTTAGCCTTTAGCAGAAAGACGCTCAACACTTTTTTTCGGCGAATTTATAATCCTGTTTCACGTCATGGTTCTTCTCTATGCCGGTTAAGATAAGCTAGTACTTTTATTTATTTACTCTACTGCGCTAAATCAAACGAGTAGAAATAAGAAGGGAGTCGGTTACGAGCTCGAATAATTGAAAATTCGATAAATATTTATTCGAATAGCTGAAAAAATCTTCACGATTGTCACTTCGACTTGTTTCGTCTAGAAACGATTCTATGATGACTGTGTTAGGGAAGCAGCATATGCATGTACGTAATTGGTCTTCTTTCCTTTATTTAACGTCGGGCTCTGTTCCGCAATCTAGTGCTTATCACCGATGGGCATCGATTGCCATCCATTGACGGCTATCGAATGTGCAGAAAGGCCATTCAATTCAACACACATGGGCCGGGACCAACGGCTCTACTTTCCTCCCGAAGGAAGACGTGACCAGAGATTTTTATGCCTCAGAAAAATCCCACCGACCTCGGCTGGGATTGAACCCATTGGGGTGAGAAATCAGTCACGCTTACCACTACACCGCCGGCGCTGGCTGTACGTAATTAGTGGATTTGTTAGTTATGTCGACGCTTTTGGTCAATGCTTGACATTTACCACTTTTTCAATATTTTTTGTCGAAATCAACAGTCAGAAGCATTTTTACCGATGCGTAAAAATATTTCAGATCGATTGGTGTTAGAATAATTGAAATTGGTCTAGGGACAGCTGAGTTATCAACGTTCAAAATCTTTCATAATTTCGTTACATGTTCCATTTTCGGTTTTCACAAAGTGTACCCCCATGTAGAAATCATAGACGTAGTCCTACGTCAAAAGGTTGCCAAGTGGACTTGAATCACGAACGTTGTGGTTATCAGACCTGTGCTTTCTCCATGCTTTTGAAAATGAATAGCCTAAAAGCAAACACGAAGCGCTCATTTCCTCTCATACTTGACTTCGTATGCTTTTTCTGGTGGAGAGATTTGAGGCAAGTGTGTGCGTCAATGTTATAAATAAAAAGCTTACTTGTATAGTCGAAAGAACGTAGATAGAACACGAAATAAAAAAGACAAAA